ACTTACTACATTAAAAAACCCTATTACTTGAATAAAAACTTATTATCTATGTAATAAAAATAGGTCTTAATCTTTATTTAGTCACACTGGTATTTGATAGTCTATTTTTTTTTTCGCTGTATCTAAACTTTTTCTTCCTTTTTGGCAGAAAAAATATGTTAAGCATACTGAACTGAAACCTACTTCACAACATAAAACGTGCATTTTTAAAAAAACTACGGATTAGATTCTCGTAAAAATTTTACAGGCTCATGATAACACTCCGCAGAACCCAAAAATGAGAGAAAAAATTGTAGGAAGATGGACAAAAAAAGTTATATTAACTCGTAAAGTAAGTGAACCAGTGAACCAAAAACTTTATCACAATAACAAATTGCGGCTAATAACTTAGCAAGAAGACCAATGTTCAAAAAAATTTATTAAGCACTTTGTTGCTTAAAAATTCACAATTTGAACGACGCTAAGATCACTAAAAATTTCCAGAAGCATGTTAAAAACCCCTTAATACCAACATAGATCAACACTTGCTTAAATTGTCAGCCGGCAGTGTTACTGTGATTGTGGTCTCGCCCCGACAAACATTTCACACCAAATTGGAGCTGAAGACGCTTATATTTATAAACGAAAAAATAAATTTTATAAAGTAATTATCAATCTGATAAAATACTGGACCCCTTGTTTTCTGCAATGACAAAAAAGCACAGAATCTATTTCGCCAATCGGCTGCAACGTTACTAGTGGTTAGATATTGACAATAAATTTATTTTCATTTCCTCGTCGTTGTACTCCAGAGATTACGCCGCACAGACGTTGCCATCCGGACCTCAACAGATGAAAACCTCTTACTACCATAGACAGTTAAGCAGTGATGCAACAAAATAGGCTTTTCTCAAGCTGAATCAGCATTGAGGTCACATATATCGGAATTTTTGACCTGCAAAAATTACACGAAAATTGCGTTTAAGATGCAAGATCTTGTCGCTTGATGAGCTGGCAGTATTGGCCTTTCAAAGCCATCAGTGTCGAATGAGTGCCTTTTTCACAAACTCTTCCCTTGTCGACGTAAAGTATTAAGTCCGCGTTCTGTACAGAAGACAGACGATGAGCAATTGTTATGCATGTTCTGCCTTGACGAGCCCTGTCAAGCGCTTCTTGTACAGCCTGAAAAAAAGTAATTGCTTTTCAGAATTGCAGTTATGACACAAATACTCACTGAAGGTGCCTCAATCAACTTTTCAAATTCTGTGTTACTTTTCTACCCATTCTCCCACTTCTGAGACATTTTCATTTTTACTCCACACTCATTTCTTCTACGAAACTTACTTTCTCGGATTCAGAATCAAGAGCAGAAGTGGCTTCATCGAGTAATAAAATTTTCGGTTTTCGTATAATTGCACGAGCAATGGCTATTCTTTGCTTCTGACCGCCGGAAAGTTGCGTACCTTTTTCTCCGACATCAGTATCAAGACCCTAATGTCATTAGAAATGTTTGAGAAAAGCCAATAAACTGTAATTTTTTTATTCTACCAAAGCATAACTTCTAAAAAGTGCACTAAGAATACTGTTATGAAGGTATAAACCTGAGGTAAACTATCAACGAAAGATTTAGCGTTGGCAATTTCTAGCGCTTCGTAAAGTTCCTCTGTCGATATATTTTTTTCAAGACCAAGACAAATATTATCTCGTATTGAGCCAGCAAATAAACGAGGTTCTTGGCCAACTAAGGCAATTTGAGTACGTAAGTGGTGTAGACTTATTGTTTTCACATTCATCCCATCAAATTGCTAAAGTGTTAACTATATACTAATAAAAGTGGCTTCTTGACTTCCCAACTTGTCTACAGTTTAATTTAAAAAAAGACTTAGGTCGAAAAAAATCAGTGATTAATAAAGTAACAATATTTATTTGCTGTAAATTCAAATGCTTTACCACACATCCAGCATCAACATCATAGAAACGTTCTATTAAGGAAATCATTGTACTCTTTCCAGAGCCTGATGGTCCAACCAAAGCGACAGTTTGTCCACGATTAGCTTCAAAATTCATTCTAGCCATCACAGCCTGGGTTGGCCTCTGGGGATATTTGAAAGTTACATCACTAAAGCGTAATTTTCCGTTCAAAGTCTGTAACGATAGTTTCATAAAAACAATATCAATTTTATTTCAGAAAAAATTTTATTTAAAAAATTAGCCTTTCCATACCGGCTTACAACCATCCTTGTGATCACCAATTTTCGGCTTCCGCTCAATCAAAGCAAAGAGCGATTTGGCAGCCGAATGCGCGTCGACTACGTTTGGAAAGTATGGAGCAGAAAGCAGAACACAGAAAGACGCTAACAATAATGCAACATTTGCACTGTAAAATATTCATTGCAGAAATTGTTCAAAGCTATGTTACGGCGAAAAAAAGTTCTATGTTTAATTTATTAAGAAAAAGACGCCTAACAGGATACCACTTACTTGAACGATTCTACAATTGGTACCAATCCAATGTTAGCGCAGTGAATGCTTATTGAATATGAACAAGCGATAATGAAGTACTGAAAACTTTGTCCCACAGTAAAGTTTAGCGCCTCGATATGAGTCCTCACCGTTTCAGGCCTTTTGTGTACTTTTAAACACTCGCTATATTTCTTGTTAAAAGTTTCTTCCCTTGTTAACAGTTGTATTGTGCGCACATTTTCTATTATTTCAACAGACAACTGAAAAACTATTAAAAACTTCTAAAAAAGCAGTGTTTCTTGAAAACCACTGGCAGTGTCATATCCCTAAAGTTTAAAAGAGAAAGTTTGGTAGCATCTTGCCAGGCAATTACTGACACTCACAGAAACTATTAACAATTATATTCTAAAAAAATTGTTCTTTCTTTCATAATAATTTGTAATCTGTGCACTTGTTATCAAGTTTGTTACTAAAGTTTTTGAAATTTCTTAATAAGCATCTTTTAATGCATTGTTGTCCAGAATTGTTAATATATCGAAATTAACTATAATACAGATTATTTACGGTATTTTCACAGTCCAGTTCTTCTGCACTCAGCAGATAATAGAAGCATTAAAAAGCGTTTAGGAGAATAACTGTAACTGATTTAAATATAAATTATAAAAAGTCACAAAAAACAATTAGTCACTTACTTTTCCAGCTTCATTTATTTTTATAAGGTTTGTATTGGTTCTCTGAATGCGCATGGCCAAATACATTTGTAATAATCCATACAAAATGACAAGCGCGCTGCCACAGAGGGCTACCTAAAGTTCTAAAGATTTGTACATAAATGAAAAAAAGCTTGCTGAAACGTTTATATTCATTATATACCTGCCAACATTCTAGAAAACCGACAAAAAAACCACATAACATTCCGGAGACGCCGAAAATGATGTGAAATACACGAACGTCGATGACCTAGAAAAGGAAGTTGCTTAATGTAATGTCTAGTAGATAATGTAGCTTAGGTGCTGTTTCAACACAAATTATTTTCAAAGCCGCTGAAATACAATTAGATTTTAAGTGGTATCACTGCTTTCACTGCACACACATAATTATTCCTCTAAATAAGCAAGAAATCACTCTAAAAGTATTTTTATCTTCCTTACTTCTTTTAAGATACTGTTGCGAAATAAAACCATAGCAAAATTTTCAAAATCAAAGAAGTAACATAAGAAGAAGTAAAAAAAAATGTCAGTTAAATTTGAGAAGAATACGCTAAAAACATTTCTTCTGTCTCAGAAAATTTACTCTTGCCATAGTAACTGGTGAAAGATTAACAGTCTTATAATTTGACGTTTATGAAATTTTTGCTAGCACAGTATCAATTATTTGAGACATTTCAGTTAGTTAACTAGTGAGAAAGATCATAGAGAGACTATTTTAAATACTTACACCTTTGACTTTTGGAGTATCGGCTGCTAATTGTGTTATCAGTTTTCCTGGTAAGTGTTGCGGTTTATCGAAGTAGGAAGCATCTTGTAACAATATACTTCTAAATGCTTGACATCGGAATCTTACGGTGAGGCATTCTGATACTTGTCCGAAGAGGACTGTCTGAAATATGAGAAATAGAAATTTATAGAAAGACAACGATGCCTAAACCGCTTTTTACATTGTAATTGGTAACTGGTATTTTTATAAGTTTTTATGAAACCATAAACTTACTGCGAAAGATTATGATTTACTGCAATAAATCGTTTTATAATTAAAAACTCAAAAACCAAAAAAAGTCATATTTTGCTTAAAACAGTCATATTTTGCTTAATTTCTGGTACATCTTTTTCAATTTTACCAGCCACTGCAAACAAAAAGTAAGTATAACAGTGAATAATTGTAAAAAGAAGTCAAAGCATTTGAGATAAAAAGTTTGTCGAGTTTTATGATGAAAATTAGTTACAAAAAATCTGCTTACTCCACTGAATTCAGTGATCATGACTATTAGGCCTACTACTAAGTACATTGCACAACCGATGCCAATTTTTTGCATTAGAACGTCGTCATAGACGTTTGCTGAGAATGCTCTGAATATGTATCCAAATATCAGGGTGTCGGCAGGCATATGCAAGCCAGAAATAACTCCAGAAATTGTTCCACCAAGCTAAAAGTAAAGGAGAATTTTGAAAATTGAGATTCATTTCGATTGCCTCATAAATTTTAATTTTTAGTCGCAATCTTTATTTGAGACAACGTTATCTAATATTTTTGTTTGCAATTTTATAATGTTTAATGACAAACTATGCTCCAGTAGTTTCCCTGCGAATTTTTGTAAACAGTTATTATTCCACCCGTTTTGGATGTTCCTTCTTCAACATCAACTTCATCAAATGCACAACTTTCTGAGCTGTAATGTTCGCGATAAATATCAGCTGTCATAGAGAGCCTTATGCTACTCCTAAAAATAGATTAGTCAAACTTGATTACCTGAAAAATGAAACTGAGAATTATGTTATTTATAATCAACTATTAACATTCTGGTTTCCTAGAACGCAGGAAAAACGATCCTGGGAAGAGAAAAACAATTTAAAACCTCTGTAAACAGCTACTCTGTTCACTTGCTCTTTTAAATACATTTGCGCCCTGACCAGTACTTGAAGAAATAGTTCTCTGCCTCACAAGTTGACGTGGTTCATTGAAATAACTTCTAAAATGCCACTATTTGTGTTTTTTTGTGGTACAGTGAAATGCCTCAGTAATATAGGGAAATTAATGCATTACTCTTCTTCAAGTTCATCTGCAAGTGCATCAGTGTTCAACTCGTCAGATATTTGAATTTTTTGAGTTTTTACTAACTGAGCGTAAATCCCATTTGCTTTTAAAAGTTCATCGTGTGTACCTAAAAACGAGCGGAATCAAAAATATTGCGAAATAACAGTTTATATAATCTATCAAAAAAAGCAAATGTTCTTTGTTGTGAACAGCATAAGTTGAAATTTAGAAATAGGTCAAATCACACCTTCTTCAGCAATTACTCCTTTGCTAAAAACAGCGATTTTGTCTGCATTTCTAACTGTAGATAGTCGGTGAGCTATTACAATTGTTGTTCGGCCCTTTGAAGCCTTATTTAAAGCATTCTATAAAGGTTTGAGATGTTTCCTCAAACAGTTTGAGATAACTTACAGGCGAAGAAAACCAATAATATTGAAGTGCTTCAAAAGTACTCAAAGGGTTATCACTAAAGCATTTACTGGTACTCATTAATTAGCAATGTTTTCCGATATCGTAGATTTTTGAATGATAAGGTCATTAATACTGTAGAATAAAACCTAAAAAACTTAATTACTAACAAACAAATAAACAAGCTTTACAAACAAGCTTTATTACACTCATTTTCCTTTGGTCAAAGCATCCTCTCAGTTTATTGGCATAATCTTGTACAAAACGTCTAAATTTTAAACTTTATAAAGTACTTAGAGTAATATATGGCTACACAACCTGAACAATAGCTTCAGACTGAGCGTCCAAGGCGCTAGTTGCTTCGTCAAGCAGTAATATTTTTGGATTTCGCACCAGTGCTCTAGCAATAGCAATTCGCTGTTTTTGTCCTCCTGAGAGCTGTACACCACCGTCACCAATTACTGTTTGATAACCCTTCAAATGTACCGTTTCTACAAACATTTAATAGATGTTGCCTTCTGAAATATTGCGGTCTATGAAAGTATTTACCTTTGGCAGTTTCAAAATGAACTCATGAGCATTTGCCATCTTACACATTTCAACTAATTGTTCCATGTCAGCATCAGGATTACCCAATCTTAGATTCTCCTCAACTGTGTCGTTAAACAGTACTGGCTCTTGTTGAACCACACCAATCACATTCCTTAGCCACTCAATGTTCATATCCTTAACATCATTATCATCAATGGTGACATATCCTGATTCTGCTTCATACAGTCGCGTAAGTAAACTAATAGAGGTAGATTTCCCGCAGCCACTGCAAAAAATAATCGGTTTTTCATTCGTTATTTTGAAAAAAGTCTGGTGAATTACGCCAAGTTTATCTGTAAAATTTGAAGTTTTTTCATTTGTACCAGCAGTTCTGAACTTTTCAAAACAAAAATTCCAGTGGTAAGAAATCTATATCAGCAAACCTGTGACCGACAAGTGCAACGAGTTGACCGGGCTCTGCCGTCAAATTGAGGCCACTTAGGACCTTGACGTTTTCTCGACTAGGATAACGAAAGTAAACATTCTTAAACGCAACTTGTCCTCTCAAGTCTCCAATTATTCTTCCTTTTTTAGAATAAGAATCAATCTCCGGTTTCTAAAACAACAGCGTTTAGTTCACTACAGTAAGCATAACAGAAGTAATAAATAGAAAGGTCGTTTGGTTATTTGACAACAGAACCAAACTTCCAAACAACAAAAAATTACTCCCCTTTTCCTTGGGGCAATTTGAAGCAAAATCTTCTCTTAAATGTGGCCGATAAATAAGGAATTGGAAGAGAGAAATCAAAGAAAGGTCCGGTTACAAAAGTTTTTTCTATCGTAAAAAAGTTGCCCTACAGCTACTACAGTAAACGGTGTAAATAAGGTTTTTCAATAATTGATGCTACATCTTGTTTTAGATTTTATTCCAGCAACTGGAAGTTAGAGGTTTTTGAGGCGGACTTGTGTTTCACAACCTTACCAGACTGCCTACTGAAACACGGTGAAAATTAATAAAACAGTAATTTTTGTTACAGAGCTTTGCAGAAGGACAAATCTCAGTATCTCTAACAAGTGATGCAAAAAGTAGCCATTATCTTAGTTTTTATCATGCTCTCTCATTTCTTTTACAACCTATTTTTTCTATTTACCTCCAATTTTCTTTTGGCAGGAGACTTCAGTCAAAAGTTGAAGAAGAATTGAGGAGGAAGAGTCAGAAAGGAAGAGTGAAGAATGTAAAAAAGCAGTTCTTTGCCCCCTTTAGAAATAGAAAACCGTTTTTTGCTTGCGTCAGCTATATCCATTTTACAAATTTTCTAATTCAATATTTAACAGCTAAAACTGACACGTTTTTTGTCTTGTATTTTGAGTTAATTTTAAAAGTAACTCTTTCAAACTAAGTTACTCTGTCAATAGTCTCATAGACCGTTGCCGCTGCGGCTCGAGCGTTCATCAAAACCATTAAGTGAGGACTGACGACACCAAGAAAATAAGTTCCAACTAAGGTAGCGAAAACAACCGAAAATAATTCTCCAGGGCTATCAAATAGGCCAACTTTTATTAAATATCCACCATAACTGCAAGTTTTTTATATTAAGAGGTACATTTCTGCCAGTGTCAGTAAACTGTTGCTAAAATTTGTTTAAAAAAATAAATTTCTTTTTGAAGCTAAAATGAATCATAGTAACATGAGCTGTTTATGATCAAATCTCATCAAGAAACTTTGCAGAGCACAGAAAAAGTTTTGGTATTAAAAACATTTTCCATAAGTCGTCTAAAAAGGGTATTTGAAGCAGCTTACATGAGGCCTGCTGAAAGTATTACAAAGAGGATAAAATAGAAGATGCCTGTGATAGAACCACTCCATAGAGCTTTTTGAACAGCATAATTTTTTCCTTTAATTAGTTCTTTTCTATAATTATGAACCATAGTTTCTTGACCATTACAAGACTGTACGGTTCTTACGCCCAAAATTGCTTCTTCAGCTACTGCACCCGCTCTTCCCACAACTTTCAGTTCCTTTCCTGTCGCTTGGTCTAGTTGCTGAAGAAGAGGAATACAGATATTAATAAAACTTATCTCAACTGTACATGTGACATGTACTTAGACAGTAAAAAATAAAAAAGTAAAAAATTTGCAACAAAAAGATTAAGAATTTTAAAAAAAGTGTTAAAAAAACTAATACAAAACGACGCTACCTGTGACAGTTTCCACATTAGAAATGTGGTAAATGGTGATACGGCCAAAATAATTAGTGCTATTCGCCACTGATAAATAAAACCAAACAAAAATCCTACGATGTACATGGTAACTCCTTTCAAAAGAAATCCCAACTTGTCTCCAATACCTTCACTAATCCGATCGATGTTACTGAAGTGACGAGGAAAAGTTACAAGCAGACTTGACTTTTATTGGTGTAGTTTATTTTAAATAAAAAATAATGTGAATTAGAGTTGAAACATAAAACAAACAGTGCTTTCAAACAGATTATATAAATTAATTAAAGTTACTCACTCGTTGAGTCGAGTGGTAAGAACACCACACTGATTTTTGTCAAACCATCCAGCATTTTGCCGTAAAATTGCTTGAACATACTCTCGACGTATCGTATTTACTATGCGATAACAAACTGATTGAAAACAAACGTGCTAAAAACAGAATTTATAAGTTTTTGAATAAATCGGTATAAATGGTTTTATATATTGTTGCTATCACTTATAATTAAGTGAAAGGCTATAAGACTAATAAAAGTGTAAATAAAACAGTTGTCGTACTGTGATAAATAAATTGAAACAAACCGAAACATAGCTTAAAATTAAGGAAACGACTCCAAATGCCAAAATGATAAACATGTATTTAAAGCCTTCACTCCGGAAGTACGGGGATTCTGGTGGAACTTTGAGAAGAACATCGTTCAGGCTAGCGCTAGCAAACATAGACGATGGCTGAGCGATGCCGGTCAGTATTGAGCAAATTACTCCAATAACAAGTAAAAATTTGTCAAATTTTGTTGCATAGCGAAACTGTAATTTCATATATGAAATTTTTTATTTTTTTGCAAATAAACTTCACCTTTCTTATAATTTTTCAATATTTAAACGTGGAAAAAAATAAAAAGTGGCGACATTAAGCTGAGCACAAATACATTGTACTCTAAACAGTAGTATTACAACATTATAAATGGCAGGATCATATACAAAATTTCATTTTTAATGAATCTTTAAATTTGTAAGAACTTGAATTTTTAGGGCGGTTTGTAGCAAAACAGAGGAATATTTGAATTAGAAAGTTGCTGTAAAAAAATGTTTAAACCATAGACAACTTTTTTTTTTTAAAATATCTTATCAATAGATGAACTGTTGGAACACTTGAATAGAGTTCTTACAGTTTTAAAGATAGAGTATAAATTTTGAAGAAATAGAGTATAAATAAAACAAAATTAAAGTTTTTTTACATAAAGAGAAAAAAGAATAAACATTGCCTTTCTTTTGTTTTAAGCAAAAACTTCATATATCAAGTAAAAATAATTTTTTCTAACACTAGTTTTTTCAAAAATTTCCAACTTTTCCTGACCGTTCTTATTTTCTTTCATTTACTGCATGGTTACTTGACAATACTTTTTGCTAGAAGATTTAAACTAGAAACTGATTGTTTTTTCATTGACAAAAGAAATAAAAGACAGACTTTTTTGTTAGCCATTTTCATCATTTATATTTTACAATTTAATTGACATGGCTTCGTTTAAAGCAAAAATCAAGAAACCAAAAAAAAAAAACTGTTACTGTTTTGTTCATATCAGTAACTTCCAACAGCTTTGTTATCAGTAATTACTTTTTTCGAAACAAACTTGACATCTAAAGTATTTTAAGCTGTTTGCAAAAAAATAAAAATAAAAAAAATGCAACTTGAATAAATATTAGCTTTTCTTGTTAAACAAACAAATCTTTCTTGACTAGTTAATGTTCTTACACCAACCTTTATTAGCTGTTCAACTCAAGCGACAATAAAGTTTAGTTAAAAAGCCGTTATATCAAATATGCCTTTATCACCTATTTAGAGGTGGTTTTTACATTTGTTATGCTGGTCAATTTTAGTAAACCTATCAGTAATTTGAGAATGCCGTTTTCTTGCCATTAAGA